AAAGTGGGCTCGTCACTTTCGTCAGCCGTATCTCCGGGATGAGCGCAACAAAAGACGTCAATTACGGGCGTTTCGTTGATGATGATTGTCCCAAAGTGATGCAGGGCCTTTCTGGCGTCTGGCGGAAAAGATCGCATTATCCCGCCAAAATATGGCAGAGAAAAAGGGGAAAGAACAGAGGGTGACAGTGAAAAGCGAGCTGCCGTGCGAGGGATACTTCCGGAGGATGGATTTTTGTGGGGTGACTCTCGGAGAAAGTGGTCGAGGCGCAGGCCGAGGCGCAGGGTATTTGACAAGAATATCTGCACTGCGGACGCCCTACAAATGAGACACTCATGCCGGCCAGAAACACTGTTTCTGGAGGACCAGTAGTTTCATACGAATTGCTCAATTTTTGCAGATAATGCGCCATACATGCCAATTGTGCAATGTCCGAGTGTTTACCAGAGCTTTGAGGCCCACATTTACGTCACATATCCGACACGCCCCGTGCCAGCGCCCGCCACCCATCGCCGCGCCCCCGCGCCTCCGCCCATCGCGCCTATCGCTTGCTTGCCGAGGCCCACCGCCACCTCGGCCGTGGCAACGGTTCAAACAGCACCAATCGAGCACGGTCATCGGCCGAAGGGAGAGGGCGTCCCCACCAAGCGGCCTCACAACGCGACAGCATTCCCGCCGCGCTGGAAGACGAACAAGGCGTCGATAGCCAGGACGGCTGCTCGGCGTTCTATGCAGCCTAAGTTACTAGGATTTCCAATTGCAATCATGAATCAATACATCTTCTTTGCCCTATCCGCGCTCCTTGCGGCTTCCGTCGAAGGCAAGAAGCATGTGATGTCTGTAAGGTGACCGTGAACGACCGCGTCGAAAACGCTCAAGGAGTTCGCGAGATTTCGACCGAAGCCGACCTTCTCATGCCCGTTGTCCTGTGGGAGGAACTTACCGCTGATGGAGTGAACGTCGACGTCTGTACATTGCACCGAATCAAGTTCGTTGGCCCTGTTGATACGGAAGACTTTCAAGAGGGCAACGTGCTCACTTGCCCTAAAGACGACCACGCTGCCCTGGGGTGCCCTGAACCACCTGTGAAGGACGAGCTCAACGTTCTGGACGAGGTAGTCTTCGGCAAGATCGTGATGGTCACGATTTTTAAGGGCGTGCACGTGAAAACAAGGTACGTTTCCGGTGCCGATGTCGCGCCGCACGTGGCCGTGCACGTTGGGGAGCTGGTCAACCGAGCTTCCCGCATCATGGAGTCCGGGAAGAGTATTCTGGAGATGAAGGCGGTGGCTAGGGTTAACGACATTGGTATCACGGCCTTTGATGAAGACGGAAGCATCGAGGTCGTGCCGGGCATGGACCTTACCTGGGGAATCAAGGCGACAGCTGGAGTGTGCGAATTCGACTTCGATCGCTTCCCACCCAAGGCGACATGGGAACAAAGGGTGAGGGTGGAGGCGTCAGGGTCTGTCTCAGCGGCGGCATCGTTCTCAAACAATCAATCTGGTGAGCTTTTCAATGTTCCCATTCTAGGGGCTGGTTTTGAGAAGAAAACCTTCCTTGTCGGAACGATCCGCTTTGGATTGTTCGCCAGTGTGGATTACGAACTCTCTCTCATGGCTTCGGCTTCAGCTGTGGCTTCCTTTTCTGGGACTTATGAAACTGGTCAAAAAGTTGAGGTCAGTCTCATCGGGTTTGACCCCGAGTCCTTGGCCTCTTCAGGCGAAGGCGGCACTGGTGATCTGGTGTTTACCGGACCGACTGTCGACTTGGATCTGAGCGTGGAGGGATTCGTCGGCCTTCGGCCTGCCATCACGGCCGACCTGTCTTTTCCAATCATGGGCGACGCATTCGCAGAGGTGTGCGCAACTGTCGGCCTGCAGTTGGACGCCAACTATCAAGACCCTGCCTTATTCAGTGGAATGAACCCGGATGACTTGACCAGTGGGCAGAGTGGGAGCCTGGAATGCAGACGAGAGCAACCCAGCGGCAGTTCCAGTTCCAGTTCAGTTGGGGGTCTTTATGTATAGTATAGCTCTTCCAACGACCCTCCTCTTCGGTGATACAGCGCAGTGCTGTGCATATTGTACCACAGCATGTACAATGCAGCTTGATTATGTATATGCATTGATGTATGGCGATCTTGACTTGTTCCAGCAGACGGTGCTTCCGTATAGCTACTCAGAACTGCCTGCTGAACTGTGAGGGCTTCTCATGATCTGAGAGCATTCCTGCCTCTGAAGCAATCAACAAGAAAGGCACTACATAAACACTCGCCGCATGAAGAGCTGGTTACATTCTCCACCTAAGGTTCGACGTTGCAATCCGGTCGCAGGACTCGGACCCACCAAAGAAAAGCGAGGCCAGAAAGGGAGACGTAACACGACAGCTGCCGCAGAGGGTACCTTACAGCTCTGGCGGCGTGGGACGGCCGCCTTACATGGCGCTTGGGCCGATGTCTCGCAAGCCGCGACCGCCAATGCCAGGGGCGCGGCGCTCGCTAATGCCAGGGATTCAAATGCAACCTTCCCCGAGTGCGCCACACGCGCCAAGGGTGCGGCGCTCGCTGATGCCAGGGGCGAAGATCCAACCTGCTCCGGGCGCGTCAGACGCGAAAGCAACGTCTCGTCCGCCTTCTGTGTGCAAATTGCGGCCCGCGTCCGCGGGCCGCGATGATGAGGGCGCAGGCGTCCGTTTCGCCGAGAATTCGTTGACAGATGACAGAGGCGTTGGGGTGTTGGTCAATACAACTGCAACAGCGCTTGATCACATGAGCAATGTCCCAGTCGATGGGATTGGTGGCCTACCAGTAGGTGACGGTACCGGGGTACGCGACTCCGCCACAACGCTGACAAACAGTGATGGCCTCGGTGATGCCGATGGTTCACACTCAGTAGAGACTTCACGAAGTCGCCCGCCGTCAAAGACCCAGGTACGGACCCGCCATCTCAAATCAACAGCTTTATACACACGTGCAAATTCATACCTCCGTTTATAGCGCATATCCCATTCTTTCTACGTTTCACATTTCTCCGCCACACGCCCTGTTCCAGGTCCACCACTCTCATGTCCCCTTCCATCTCTTCTGCAACTCTTCCTTCTTCGCCGTGAGCAGCTCCCTCCTCGCGACGGTAGCAACCCGTTCGGCAACGCGGTCCTTCCCCGCTTCCTCCGCCTGGCCGACCCTTCTCTCCCTCTCTTCCAACTTGCGCACCCACGCATGTAGCCTCCCCTGCTCGACGCCCGAGTACTTCAAGCGGGCGAAGAAGGAGCGGGAGGATCAGGGGATGAACACAAGCAACGTGAGGGCTTCTTGGAATTGACAGGGACTTTAACTAGCTCCCTCACTTCAGCCACGCGCAAATTCTTTGCTTCATCTCCGCCAAGGAGACGAAGCACATCCTCAGTTAATGCGAACGGATACCTTGAAGCGCTATCATGTACAATAACACGGTTGCAGTCCAGCGCAACGCAATGATCTACAATTCCGTGTTCCACTATTCGGACTATCCACACGCCTTGATTATGGTGCGCAAGCCACTTGAAAGGATTTGCATCGAACGCCTTCTTCACAGCTTTAGGAACTCGACGCACTGATAGTTGAGCGGGAATTTGGTGAACCAGAGAAAAGAGTTGCTTGAGTGTTTTGATCTTCATCGGATGCTTCCGAAGGTACTTGTCGACGCTTGTTCCTCCTGTGGTACCATATAGAGCACAAGTGCCGTTGGACAGCGCAGCCGACACGCATGAATCGTCGTTGCTGCGCACGAGGTTCGGGCCATACTGGTGCACCTCAAACCTTCTTGATCCAGTGATTTGTCCGCGTGCCCCAATACCACCGATGAGTATCGGTACACCGCGATGGGCCATCATCCACGCATACAGTCGACGGAACATCTCTTGCAAAAACTTTTTCTTGCGCGCCAAGTCGTTGGTACCATCATCTATCGCGTTTAATAGAGCCTGCATCGTGTGAAGGGATAGTGTAATCGAATTGGCATCGATAGACCAGAAACTTTCGTCACCGCCTGTCAATCCGGCGGCAGCGTACAAAACGCCGTCTTGCATTTTGTGGCCGCTTGCCCCTTGTCGGCCATCACCAATCATCACCCTGTCAATCGCCCAGCTCATGGTGGCCAAGAATACTAGGAATGTTGCACCTCCCCGGAGATCTGCACAAACTTCCGTTCTTAATGGACACGCGTGAGATGGGCGCCAGGCTCTTTGGTGCGGGTTCCGGGTCACTTGGAGACGCGGCCGCGGTGCACCATGCTAGAGGCAGGGTGAGCAAGGCGGTGAAGAAGGCAGGTGAGGGCATTGCGGCGAGATGTGCGCGGGGGGAGCTGGGGAACGTAAACGCCGAAAAATGGCGGGTTCAGAAGGCAGAACGTACGCCGCGTGACCGCGCGTCACCGTATGCCACTGTGGTGGGCACTGGGCGGCCTCTATAGCCACACTATATTGTTTCAGTTTTGAGAGCGCTTTATCCAGCGCGAAACCGTGCGTTGGCGTGCTTTTATAGGGGTGACATTAAAACAATCATGCATTTCTAGGGCGACTTTTTTAACATTTAGGTCTCTGCCGAAATGCCACGATGGTATACGTTTTTATGGGGTGACATCCCCGAATATGAGTTTGTCGGAGGTGACTTTACGATCGTTTTTCTGTCACCCTAGAAAACGTGCATTGTCACCCCCTGAAAAGGACACCATGGACCAAAATCACCCTACTAGCAAAGCACTTTTTAGTAGTGTCGCCCTATAAAAACCCCCACCGCATTGAAATCGCCCCACGTAGATTTCACTTTGGCCGGGTGTCGCCCCAACTTCTACACTTTGACCCAAAGCAAAAATGAAAAAACAACCCGAAATCGCGGGTATATACGCCATAAAAACCACGCGCTTGGCCCGCCCCCACCACCCGTCTTCCAACCGCAACACGTACATTTGGTGCCCAACCCTCAACCAACATCACTGGCCATCATCTCCTCCATCCCAAACATGCGCGCCCTGCACCAGAACAAGTACGGAGACCTATGCACCTATCAAGTCGGCGACGTCCCCGTCCCCACCCCAGGGTCATCCGAAGTCCTGATCCGCGTCCACGCGGCCTCGATCAACCCCGTCGACCTCAAGCGCTCGTCCCTTGGCATTGACGACAAAGAAACCTTCCCCGTCGTCACGGGCTACGACGTCGCGGGCCTTGTCGAATCCGTCGGTGACGGAGTCCAAGGTTTCGCCAAGGGCGATCGCGTCTTTGGAAACGTGCAGGCAGACACGCTTGGGCCCAAGACCACCGGAACCGTGGCCGAGTTCTGCCTGGCAAGGCACGACTTGCTTGCGCGCGTCCCCGATTCCGTCAGCATGGTTGACGCCGCCGCGTTGCCGCTGGTTGGCCAGACAGCCATCCAGGCCTTTGAAATGGCATCGGTGAAAGCCGGTGAGAAGGTGTTTATTTCGGCTGGTGCCGGCGGTGTAGGAATTCACGCGATGCAGATTGCCAAGAATATGTTTGGCGTGAGCGAGGTGGCCACCACGGCATCGGCGGCGAAGAGGGACTTTGTGGTCAAGTATGGCGCGGACAAGGTGGTGGATTACAAGACTGAGGATGCGGGTGCGGTGCTGGCGGGGTGGGCCGACATGGTTTTGGATGCCACGCAGGAGAGTGAAATGGAGAAGCGGGTGCTCAAGGAGGGTGGGAAACTAGTTAGCATTGTAGATACCGGGAAGGAGGGTGTGTCATTCTTGCTGGTGACTCCGAGGAAGAAGGACTTGGACAAGATAGCAGAGGCGATGAAGGATGGGAAGCTCAAGGCTGTTGTGGATAGTGTGTATTCGCTTGAGGACGGTGTGAAGGCGATGAAGCATGTGTTGGACGGGAGAGCGAAGGGGAAGGTTGTCGTGCAGGTCTGCAAATGATTAATTGGTTGCGGTTGTTAGACACCAGGAGAAGATGTGAATTCAGTATGGGTATGATTGGATGAATTGGAATTGGCCAGCACTGTTCCGTCCAGTAATAGAGTACGCCCTTGATTTTGGTCATTCTACAGTATTGCAACCAATTGAAAGTGACTTGCCATGGCACGCATCATGCACACTGTCGCCCCATATGGAGTCCTGTACAGTAGTGATAAGGGACATCACCCTGCCTCAATGGACACACCCTCCAAGGACTATGATTCTGCACTCGTGAAGTGGCACTTCCCACCCTGTCAAGGAACAGTATCTAACCTTGTATCACAACCTTGTTATCCCAACCTTGTACAGGCGACCCCCTCAATTAGTGCACCCCCGTGCCATGCGCATTCTTTGTGCACTATCTTCAATGTGCTTTATCTAAGGGCTCGCTAAAAAGTAGTTTACGGGGCAAGGAAATGTTCCGTTACCAGCGTCTGCCGTCGCTGACGCTTCGTGTGTTCACTATAGACACGGCTCAACGCTCGCTTAGCAAGATGTTGCATATCGTTTTTGGAGAGCAGTTGAAATCACGCTGCAAATCGACGTGCCGAGCATCCTGTGAAAGTCGCCGCAGCCACCTCCTCTTTTTGCGAAAGGGTAAGGGGGGTTCTTGACGCCCTGGATGCTGGTTCAGTTGTGCTCATTGTGTGATTAGTTGTTCGAAGATGCATAAGGTTGCTGGGATCTGTAAAAGAATGGAACCCGCTCTCTACGGACGGCGACGACCATTGTGCTCCCGTGAACATACGTGTACACCTGTACAAAGTCGTGCCAAGCTATCAGAGGGTGCATTAAAGTCCAATATGCACTAACTAAAAGTGCACTAATTAAGAGACCCCCCCTGTATCCCAACCTTGTATCCCAACCTTGTATCCCAACCTTGTATCCCAACCTTGTATCCCAACCTTGTGCTAAATATGCCTCATGGCATACCTGAAACACGCCATGTCCACATACCGTATGAATGCCGTACGTGTTTTTTCTCGCAAGTCTTGTCCTTGCGGGGCAAGATTTGCCTCCACGGCCACTTTCCAAGGACAAATGCTGCACAGGCGACCTTTTCCGCACACGACCTCTTACACTTCTTCGCAGGTTATTCAGTGTTTAGATCAAGAATGTAGTCTCGGTAGCCACCGTAGAACACTAAACTGCGCATGGCCGCTATCGAAAAGAAATTCAGTTCACAACTCGAGGTGTTTCTCGTGGTGCTACCCTTGGTAGCAAGGGTAGGACCTACGGTACGGATTTTGGGAGTGTTACTACAGTATACTGTAGGGACCAGTATACTGTAGGGACCAGCCCTCCCGTCGCCTTACAGGACAGTGCACCCTGCCCGCCCACAGTCGAGCAATAGGCACATGACATCACACGTTTAGTGCAGCAAATCAAAATCGCTGCTGTGCTGCACTGATTCTTCTTCCTCCCATCTCCAATACATTTCAGGCATTCTCTGATCCCTTATAAAGCAGAACGACTCTACTGGCAGCACATTGCACTTTAATCCGGCAACTACGGTAATTCGCACCATCCGCCACTGCGTTCACTACGCCAACCCCAACAAGATGCCAAGCATGCGCGCTCTTCACCAAAAAAAATACGGGGACGTGTCGACCTTTGAAATGGGCGACCTCCCGGTCCCCACGCCGGGTACTTCAGAAGTGCTTCTCCGCGTGCATGCAGCGGGGCTCAACCCCATTGACTTGAAGCGTTCGTACCTGTGCAATCCCGATGACGAGACGTTCCCCGTTGTGACGGGGTACGACGTCGCGGGAGTTGTGGAATCCGTGGGGTCTGGCGTGACCGACTTCGCGCCTGGCGACCGCGTGTTCGGAGATCCTCAGGAGCCGTCCGGTGCTGCCAAGAGCACTGGCACTGTTGCCGAGTTTTGCGTCGGCAAGCAGCATTTGCTGGCGCGCATGCCGGAAGGAACATCGTTTGTGGAGGCCGCGGCGTTGCCCGTGGCGGCATGCACCGCGGTTCAAGCCCTTGAAATCGCGGGGCTCAAGGAAGGGGATAAATTATTTATTTCTGGTGGGGCGGGTGGCGTAGGCATTCACGCGATACAGATTGCCAAGGCGTTGTTTGGAGCGAGTGAGGTGGCGACAACGGCATCTGCGGTGAAGACCGATTTTGTCAAGATGTACGGAGCGGACAAAGTGGTGGACTACAAGACTGAGGACGCAGGGAAAGTGCTGGCGGGATGGGCAGATGTAGCTCTGGATACCACGTCCGAGAGCGAGATGGAGAAACGGGTGCTGAAGGAGGGGGGAAGCTTGGTATCGATTGCAGAGTTTGGGACGCCGGGAGTGCGGGCGATGATGCTGGAGCCAGGGAGGAAGCTGCTGGAACAGTTGGCAAAGTTGTTGAAGGAAGGAAAGCTGAAGGCCGTGGTGGATAGCGTGTACGAGCTTGAGGAAGGGGTGAAGGCGGTGCAGCACGTGGCTGGAGGGAGGGCGAAGGGGAAGGTGGTCGTCAAGGTGCATGAATAGTGAACGGATAGAGTCGTCATACAGCCGTAAGACTTTCATAAAACTTCAATAAAAAGTCATGAAATTTAGAAATTTTCTGCTTCATGCCTAGATCTGCCGGCCGAGGGCGAGCTCAACCCACGACCACTTGCCCTTTTTCGCGTGCATGCCCGCCCACCTCTGTCCACCAGTGTAACATCCTCCCCCTCCCGCCCCCCGCCCCCGCTCCCGACGTCTCTTCTACTCCCCCGCTTGCAACGCAAACGCAATGGGATCCGACGAGGAGATCTTGCAAGTTATTGATGACGCCGGTACTTACGTTCCCACCGATCCCGCCTGGTTTCCGTCGCATGCAGAGCTCGGCCCGGAGGCCCTTTCTGTCGTCGCAGTCCTCGGCGCGCAAGGCTCTGGCAAGTCTTCCTTGCTGAACAACCTCTTTGGCACCTCCTTTCCGGTCGCCTCTCGCTCGCCGGTCACCAACGCCACTACCAAGGGCATCCACGCCTCTACGGCCGACCATAGCCCCTTAACCGTTGCCCTCGATGTAGAGGGCTCGGACTCTCGCGACCGCGGTCGCGACGGCCGTGCTTTTCAGACCCGCTGCGCCGGTTTCGTTGCCGCTATCGCAGACGTCATCTTGCTCAACATGTGGTATCATGATGTCGGCCGCTTTGATGCCAGTGGCTATGCGCTTCTCGATGCCGTCTTTGCCGAAGCTATTAAAAATGGAGATCAAGACCCGGACTCGTTTAAGACCGCCCTGGTTTTTGTTGTACGAGATACCGACGATGACATCGATCTCTCAGTCCTCGAGTCCTCGCTCTTGGATGACGCCAAGGAGATCTTCCAGTCGAGTCAATCTTTATCGTCGAGCTCTATTTCCCTCGACGCTCTTTTTGAAATTCATGTAGTAGCCCTGCCTCACATGCGCCATTGTCAAGAAAAATTCCAAGAGGGATGCGGTTTGCTCGCCAAGCGCCTCACGGATTCCACTGACCCTGACTTTCTTGTCAAGACAGCATTCTCGAAAACTATTCCAGCAGACGGCTGTGGTACTTTTACCAAGTCTCTCTGGGAAAGCTTGTATTCTACACCTCGTGATACACCGAGAGGCGCCGCCTCAATGGAGAATGCCGATTCCTCTATGGTGGCTGCTTATAAATGCAACGATGCATTCTCTGACGCCCTCGTGGGGGCATCTGAAAGAATGTCAGCCCTTACCCAAGGTACGCTTGATGACGGAGAGAAAATTGAAGGGTTTGGAGCTAAGGCAGCCGAGGTTATGAATGATGCCCTTGCTGACTATGACGCCGCAACAGAAGAATGGACGTCTGAACCAATTCAATCGCGCAAGCGACGAGAATTGGAATCCATCATTGATACGTCTCAACATGCGATCTTCATGAAGCAGATCCAGCTGCTTCGTGAAAATGCGCTCGCCCATTTCAAGTCGGTGACGGCCTCAGACGATATGCCCTCAGACTTTGCCTTTTTCACAGCTGATTCGCTGTTTCAAAGGGAAGCAGAGGAATCGAAGCGACCTGGCTCGGGCTGGACAACGACGCAGGAGAGGACCGACTTGCAAAATATGATGCAGGAGATTTCCACGCAACGCAAGCGTCTAATGACGGTTCAAGTGAGCGCGGCGCAGCAGCAGGCACATGCGATGCAATATTTGCAAATGCAGCAGAGCCAAATGAGTGCAATTCAAGCACAGGCCTACGGTGGGAGTGCCGGGCAATGGAATGTTGGGGCAGCTTATCGGCCGCCTGACACGAACATCAACGCGAGTCTGAGCTATCAACAAGGGCGGACTAACATTCAGATCTCGATGGTGCCGGATGAATCGGCATCGCTGTTAGGCCCGAATGGGTTCACAGCAGGTGTGGGACCAGGAAATCTTGGATTGTCATTTAACATCGGTCTGTAACTCTGTGCTCGCAAAAAATGAACTGGTAGTAGCGGCGAACTAGAGCAATAGAGCGGTGCTATCGGCATGATGCCTTTTGCTAAGGACGAACGGTATGGAACGGGAATGCTGGAGTTGTTGACAATTAAAACTTTTTGACGTGAATCCATTTTCCGGCGTCAAGCAACGTCATGCGACCCCCGGTGCCCACATCTCTTTCGTGATTGAAGCAGAGAGAGGAAAAGTATCGAAAGGTTGACGATATTCCAGGCTCGTTGTTTATGTGCGGATATCTCTCATCTCAGTGCGCCTCAACGCCCGCCGGACACCGCTGACTCATTAAGTTTGCAGTAGGGGGAGAAATGAACACGGTAGTATGGATTTTGCAGTATCTGCGAGCGTGTCGTTTGAAGAACGCGCGAGAGGAGGGACCTCGCGCGTCTGAGGTATGTTTTCACGATGTCCGTAGCCTGTGAGGTGCCCGGTTTGATAAACGTACAGTACACGCGTACACGTTTAGATGCTCATTTTGTAGCATCGTCCAGCTCCCGCCAAAACACACAGAACCCTCAGAGACCGAAAGCCATGGCCATCCTAAACCACACCACTGTATCAAGCACGCGCCACTCGACTTTCAATCTTCTTTCCAAACGTCAATAGCTCTCGCCCTCACCCCGACACATCTTTCGATTCCTGCAAGGAATGGCTTCATCTCAGATCCCCGGCCCTGGTGCCGAACTTTCACGCCAAGCAAAGTCCGACCTTTCCGTCCTCGTCCACTTTCTCCTCCTCTTCCGGGAACCCCTCGGTCTCTCGCAGCACGACTTGCTCCACGCGCAGGCCGAAACCTCTTTACTCGCCCAAACTGGACGTCCGTTTGACGCTCTCGCCGTCTTTCTTACCACGGCCTCCAAGACATCACGCAAGGCGTTCCAAACCACGCTGTCGATCCACCAAACCGCCGCCGAATCGCTCTCCCACTTGCGTGACCTCGTCGACAGCAATGCCCATCATAGCGACCTCCGCAAATTCGTCACCGCCGACGATGGTCGCGTTCTACCATCTGCCAGACTTCGGGTAGGCGCCCGCGACGCCACCGGCGTGTCATACACTTGGCTGCGGGGTCCAGACGGATGTTGCAGCGATCGCATCATTGCCGCTTCCAGCCCTACAGCCTCTCGGGTTCTGAGAACGGAAGATGCCGCACAAGTCGTCAGCAAGCTGGAGAGTGGGCAAAGACGGCGACATGATCTGCTCGCGGCTGCGTGGCTCAGAGAGCGTGCCGATCGCTCTATAGCGAGATGCACGCGTCTGGAGAAGATCCAGGAGGAACGGGTGAAAAAGCAAGAGCGCATGCAGAAGCGAGCGGGGCTTGTTGGTGGCGTGCAAGTCGATGTTTTCACGTGCGGTCGTGGCAGGCGCGAGAGGAAGAGAGTGTGCTATGAAGAGGAGGAGGATGAAGAGGATGAAGAGGAAGATGAGGTTGTGGAGGACGAGGAATGCGAGTTTGTGATGGAGAGCGGTGAGGAAACCGAGTCGGACCAAAGCGGGGATGAGGATTTTAGCGAAGAAGAGGGGGTGGCGGGACATATGAGCCACGAGGACGGGTGGAAGATGCACCCCGCAGCGGTCGGACGAAGGAGGGTGCGGTCCTACGCCAGAGAAACGGACTTTGGGACTACATGGAAAGACGGTAGAAGCGCTATACGCAAAAGCGCAAGGTTGCTGCGCAGTTCGGGTGTTTGAGGGAAGTACCGGCGTTGAAGTGTATGGCGCAGGAAGTGTATGGCGCAGGTGTGACCAGCGAATATCACAGGAAGATGGATAGAAAATGGTTTCGTGGTAGACGGCGGTGAGAGGGAAGTGGTTGTCGAGAAGAGAGAGTTGCCATTCTTTGCCACTCGGGGTACTTGGGCCGGGCCGAGCGATTCCTCGATAAACGAACACTGACGATGCGCATGTCATCATACAGCGACGTTTGCTTGTGCAGGAGGTATCCCCTGGCATGGCACGTTAAGATTCGAAGAAATTGGTCGTAATCAGAGTGATTTCAAATCCTTGTACTGTACAGGTACCAATGTACCGAAGTGAGTGTACCCTTGGTACCCTTCGTACTGTACATGGCTCAACTCAGGGTGTGTCTTAACATGCCCCGTTTTGCTGCGGGTTGCTTTGCCTTGCCCAAAGAAGTGACTTGGCGTGCTATGAGTGGCTCCTACGTTTTAATTTATGTGTTTAAGAAAAGCAACGGCTTAAGAAGCATACGGTATTTGTTAAGAATTTAAAAGTATTCCTGGCAAAACCGGGCAAGGCAAAGCAAAAACCAGCCTGTTAAGACACGCCCTCAGTACGTACTGTACAGACGACGGTCCCCCATCTGTTTCGACGTCTGAGCTGCGGGTAGAAACTAAAAGCGTCGACAAGAGCGCAGCCACTTGCGCAGTCGTTGTGTCCACGTGTGTGGCGGTTCCAATATCGGCGGTTCTGCCCGCAAGTTGGTCCTCGCGTCAGCAGACTCGCAAACGGCAGGGCGGCACTGCCCTCCTAAGCAAAAGCAGCCTGCAGCGCTCAATACTGGTGTTTAGGACCGGAAGCGTACAGTCTCTTGGGTACTGCTGCACGGGATGACGGGATTAACGGACGCCCATTAACGGAAGCGTGCATGGCACCGCGCGGTCCAGTATTCCGGAAACGGCCGAGCGGAATGATCTCGAGTGAGGGAGCAACGTACCAACGTGTCGGCACCGTACGCGGGAGCCTCGTGTCCGCATGCCAACAATGCATCCCCAAACCCTCCGCCTATTGGCTGTTCCCAATCAGTGAGTTGGCTGTTCCGGCGAGGCGCCATTCTACCGCACTGTAAATTGGGTGCATATCATACTAATTGGTTTCATACATGATGGACCATGGGCCAGAAAGGGGTGCCCCACCTTGCTGGCATCATGTAGCCAATCAGATGACGGGCTGTTCCCAGTCAGTGAGTTCCCGAGTTCCCTGTGGAATGAGGTCAGCTTGAACACGTCGACATTCAACTGTGTGCTCTATCACGTGCTCTACCCTTGAAGGGTAATACCTTCACGACCGCCATATGTGCATCCACACAGCCGCCGCTGCCCCGCCGTCGTCACCACCGCCTCCCCCCCCCTTCCCTCCTCCACGCCCGCCTCGCCATGGCGCCCAAGCTCCCGCGGCTACGTCTCCTGCCGCTCCTCCTGCCGCTCCTCCTCGTCCTCCTCCTCGTCCCCCTCCTCTTCCCCTTTCCGGCCAGGCTAGTCCGATGGGGAAAGACCAATCACTG